TCCACCTGAATCCTTAAACGACTTGTTTGTCCCCGTCTCCTCCACATGTTATACTGACATCAAATATAGTGAAAGCGGGGGTTACACTGTGGGGGAGGGACATACAAAGCAACAAAGAAATAATCTTATAAATTCGTTAGAAACACATGCATGAAAGAAACAAAAACATTAAAATACATATTTGAGGGTTCGTTTTCCTAACATCACATTATCTGACTTTTTCCGCTTGACTCATACCTATACTAGATATTGCAAATAAGGGAAACCATGGGACCTATGTTTCTTTGGGCCTGGCTTACTTCACTTAATATAATTTTTTCCAAGCCTTTCCATTTCCTAACAAATGGGGAAATGTCATTCTTTCTGATGGAGGCATAGAATTCCATTGTGTATATATACCACATTTTCTTGATCCATTCATCTACTGAGGGGCATCTGGGTTGGTTCCATGTCTTAGCTATGGTAAATAATGCTGCAATAAACATAGTTGTGCTGGTAGCTTTAGTGTGGTCTTTTTTGTAAACATTAGGGTAAATGCCCAAAAGTGGGATTGCTGGGTCATAGGGGAGTTCTATGTGAAGTCTTTTGAGGAACCTCCATACTGCTTTCCAAAGTGGTTGAACAAGTTTACATTCCCACCAACAATGAAGTAAGGTTCCTTTCTGTCCACATCCCCTCCAGCATCTATTGTTGTTAGAGTTCTTGATTTTTGCTGTTCTAACTGGAGTGAGGTGATATCTCAATGTTGTTTTGATTTGCATTTCTTTTATGGCTAGGGATGTTGAACATTTCTTCATGTGTCTATTGGCCATCCTTCTTTCTTCTTCAGAGAAGTTTCTCTTTAAGTCTTTCGCCCACTTATTTATTGGGCAGTTGTTTCTTTGAGGATTTGTTGTTGGGTGGTTTAATTTTTTGAGTTCCAAGTATATTTTAGATATGAGACCCTTGTCCGTTGTATGGCTAGTAAAGATCTTCTCCCAATCCGTGGGCTTTCTATTGATCTTGCTAGCTATGTCATTTGCCCTGCAGAAGCTCTACAACCTTATGCAATCCCATTTGTCCAACCTTTCTTTGATTTGTTGTGTTTCCGGGTCTCTATTCAGAAAATTTCGGCCTGAGCCAAGGAGACCCAGGGTTTCTCCTATTCCATCCTGTAATGTTTTCAGAGTGTCTGCTTTGAGTTCAAGGTCTTTGATCCATTTGGAGTTGATTCTGGTGCAGGGTGATATATAAGGATCTAGCTTTAGTTTTCTACATGTAGTTAACCAGTTTTGCCAGCACCATTTACTGAAGAGGCTGTCTGTCTTCCATTCTATTATTTTAGCACCCTTATCGAAGATTAGATGGCTATAAGTCTGTAGGTTCATTTCTGGGTTTTCAATTCTATTCCATTGGTCCTGAGGTCTGTTCTTATGCCAATACCAAGCTGTTTTGATTACTATGGCTTTATAGTAGAGTTTGAAAGTTGTTAGGTTTTTAAAAAGAGGTAGCCGAGTAAGAACAGTGCCATGAACGTGGTATTCAGTAAGGGGTAGGTTTATTCAGTAGACATGCTGGGACCAGGCCAGGTTGGCACTCCATGTGGCTGGGAAAGGCCTGGGAAAGACCTGAGAAAGAGAGAGAGCTGGGAAAAAGGTGGGAAAGAGAGAGCTGGGAAAGAGAGAGAGCTGGAAAAGAGAACAGAGAAAGAGAGAGCTGGGAAAAAGTGCTAAGAGAGCTGGGAAAGAGCTGAGAAGGAAAGAGCTGAGAAAGAGCTTCTGGGCCTGGGCTAGGCCTTATCTAGGGTATGGGCGGAGAAAGGTGTGTCCACATCGAATCCAGATGTGACCTCAGCAGATGCCGATGTGACCTCTTCCAGGTGTCCCAGTTGCCTAGGTAATGCAGGTACTGGGTGGAGACTTTGCTGCTGGGTGAAGTCTTCTTTCCATTGAGGAGCGGACCTTACAGTACTTTTGGTTCCTAAGTTTTGAGGGTCAAAGCTTGGACCCATAAATGCATAGGCACAAGGGAAAAGTGACAGGGAGCTCTCCTTAGGTGTGGTACACGTCAGTTATCATCAAAACTTTAAGCAAGCTCAGTAGCAGCTAGGCCAGAGGATTTACTGACTCCTCCCATGGTCTGCCACACTACCATGGACCAGATATCCCACTGACCTGAAAGCCCCATGACCACTCCAGAGGCGGCAAAACCCTCCTTCCAGGATTCACTGGGAAGAATGACATTTGTGCATTTGTGTAGTTAATGAGCCAAGCTCAAGCTCTGGGGAGCGGCTTAGACATGCTAATGAGTCTTCCCCAAGGTGTGGAGCAGTGGTTTTGATACGTTAATAAACCAACTCTAAGGTGGCTCTGATATGTTGATAAGATACCTCTAAAGTGACTAGGGGATGATCTTGATATCTAACAAGCTCATCCTAAGGGTACCTAGATTAGATCCTGACCTTACAGGGCTATAGACGCTCAAGCTCAGTATGTGCACTGGTGTTTCAGTGTAAACCCAGCTATTCAGGAGGCTGAGATCTAAGGATCTAGATTCAAAGCCAGTCTGGGCAATAAAGTCCCTGGGATTTATCTTCAATTAACTATCAAGAAGGAAAAGAAAAAAAGAAAACCTGGAAGTAGAGGTGTGGCTCAATGCTAAGTGTTAGTCTTGAATACTGTAAGGTCCAGCCTGTGAAGGCAAAGCAGATTCCTCCCTTCTATTGGCTAAGTCTCCACCCAGTACCTGCATCACCTAGGTAACTGGCACATTTGGAGGCAGTCACCCCTCCCCCTCCATAAGGTCACATCATCATTCATTGTGGCCACACATTCTTCCGCCCCTGGCCTTGATAAGTCCTGACCTGGCTGTGGTTCGACCTTTCTTTTTTTTTTTATTCCTGCTGTGTGGGCTTCCGACTTGACCTGAGGCACCTGCAAACAAACCTTTCCCTTGCCCGAATACCATCTGATACTCTCTTTCCTCAGCTGCCAATTTAATTTACCTAACAAATACAAAATCTCAAGGATAGTGCCCAGGTGTTGAATTCAAGCCTCTGGACTGGCATACACACACTCCCTCTTTGTCTCTGTCTCTGTCTCTCTGTCTCTCTGTCTCTGTCTGTCTCTCTCTCTCTTTAAAAAAATCCTTGAAGCTAAGAATGATCTAATCAGAGTTTGGTTCCTTCTGACACTACAAACATCACACTCAAACCTGAAGGGACCTTTTCCTACTGTCTCCCAGAACCTTCTCTCCTGCCAGCCTCCCTCTGTCTCAGCAATGTGCTCCATTTGATGAGTGTCCATGAACTGACCCACTCTCTGCTGGTTTATTCTAGTCTATTGTTAATTGCATTATACAATCTTGATATGCGAGTGGTTACTATTTGTTGTGGAAATCCTATTTCTGAATTGTTATATTATCAAAAGGCATTCTGCAGTTAAGTCTTTGGGGGAGGGGAGGGAGATAGGCTATGGGGCCTGAACTTGGGTCCTAGGCACTGTCCCTGAACTTTTCCACTCAGGGCTAGCACTTTACCACTTTTAGCCCCAGCTCCACTTCCAGCTTTCTGGTAGTTGATTAGCAATAAGAGTCTCACAGACTTTCCTGCCCACTCTGGCTTCAGACTGTGATCCTCAGATCTCAGCCTCCTGAGAAGCTAGGATTGCAGGTGTGAGCCACGAATATCTGGCCTATGCTTAAGTCTTTATTGCCATCTCCATTACCTCACCTCTTAGGCAATACAGCATTCAGGAAGTTTAGCTTGTTTCTTACATCTGGTAAGAGAATTCAGGCAAGACACAAACATAGCTAAAGGTGGTAGTGAAACAGGATAGATGAAGGGAAAATGAGGTACAGTTAGCTTACAACAAATACAGGAGCTATTCTTTCATATAGTTCCCTTAAGATTAAGGGAACAAAGTGATTTAGGGGAAAATGAAACAGGATAACCTAAGGAAACTGAGGCCTGGTGAAGACAACTAGAAATATGGTATTTAGAAACTTATAAATGCTATCATTTGCTTCAAAAAGAAACAACAGGATACATTCATTCCTGAGGGATGCATTTATATCTTCCTAAGAAAAGTGCTTCCCCAAACTTAAGCTACCTGCCCCCAAACGCATATAGCAGTGCGCCTCCTTATCTCAAATATAAGGAGCTGTTTTATGGCAGGATGCATTCTTACTGGGAACTCAAAAAATAAAGCCAGAGCAAAGACAAAGAACCCAGCTTTTCATAACTTTGAAGCCAGAGCCCTTGCCTTTACCCTATAAATACCCCAACAGCCCAAGGAGCTATGTGTCTCTCTGGTGTCTCCTGTGGTTGTGTCTCTTTCTTGTCTATGTCTCTCTCCATGTGTGTATCTCTGCATGTTTATCTCTCTGTATCTCACTCTATTTCCCTATGAGAGAGAACCTACACTCTGCTATAGTGTGTCCCTGACCTTGTTTGTCTGCTTTGTCTGTTTGATTGCCTGCTTGTTTACTTAATAAAGCTCTGCCATGTTTTCTTACTATAGTGACTTGTCCAGAAATTTGATGGAAGTCAAGGAAGGACCCTAAGTGAAGAGTTCCTACATTTAAAGGGAAACTTCACTGAACCTCACCTCCATCTGAAAGATTGAAATTGGGGTTTTGTCCATTTTACAATTTACTAACTGCTAATTCTGCTTCTGTAAACCTGCTTGCGTTAACACTGACTCTTCCCCTCCCAGAAATAAGTTAAAAAGTTACAAAGTCCAGATGCAGGCCCAGGGACAAGGTCTGTGAACATAGATAAAGAACAAAAGAGTATGTTCTCTTGAATTCCTGTGTAAAAACTCAGGGCAGGGGGCTCAAGACAAGGACCATCTGGTGAGCCCAGCAAACTAGGTCAAATGTCAACCAATTGCGAGCCTGTAACTATGTGGACTCCCCCCCCCCCCCCAGAGAAGCCTCCCCCTAGGGAACCAACTAGTTTTCAACAAGTGTTACAAAACTTCCTGTGCAGTTGATTTTTAAGCTGAGCCAATCCTGGGGAGCCTGGGGTCTTATGCTAATCCTGTGGTTTTTGTCTTTAAAAGTGCCTGTAACAGCTGCTCGGGGCTTCCTGTCTGCCCTGGGCAAACACCTAATAAACTCCTCTTGCTTATTGCATCTGCTGGTTTGGAGTCTTGGTTCTTGGGGTGCCCTCCCGTTGAAGAAAGCATCCCAGTGAGTCTGAGGTCTTCAGTTGGGGGCTCGTCCGGGATCCAGGCACCCCCAGACCCCAAATTCCAGGACTGGTAGGAGGTAAGATAGAGCTCTAACGTTTCGTGTCTTTCGTGTTTGTCGTTTTCGTTTTGCATTCTGGGATCCAAATCTGTATTTGGACTAGAGGGAAAAGCAGACGTGCCCAGTACCCTAGTCCCGCCTTGGAGCCCTGCTCCAGGGTCGTCTGAATCTGTATTTGGGCCAGAGGGAAAAGCAGACGTGCCCAGTACCCTGGTCCCGCCCTAGAGTCCTGCTCCAGGGTCGTCTGGAGGAAGGAGGAGATCTGAGTGTCTCTCTGTTCTGAGGAGTTAAGCGAGGCCGGCCACTCCCATCTGTAATTCCTTCCTCATCTGCATTCGGTTGCCGCGCGGCGTCTGGTTTTGTCTGTCTCTGTTTAGTGTTACTCGTTTTTAGTGTGTGTTTTGTATTCTCTATAGAGATGGGACAACAAGTGAGTCCACTCCTAGGACACCCGAGACCTTGTCCTAGTTCGTTTAAAAACTGCTGGTTCTGCTTTTGTAACTTGCTTGTTTGTCAATTATGAAACTGCCACTGACCACCTGCAAGTGGCCCCAGTTAGATCTCAGCCTCGGGCCTTGGCTCGGGGGGCGGGGGGGTCTGAGCATGGAGGAAAACCTGTCAGTCTGAGGGGACGGCTGCTAGGGATTTTTCTTTTCCCTTGCCCCAAGATGACTGGGAATTCTCCTCCACCTTGGAAGGCCCCTGGGTCAACGTCTGCAGAAATCTAAGAGAAAAATCCTCTGGAGGTGAGTATGGGGGGTTGAGTGCCCTGGTAAGTGAATGGTGGTAAAATGTCTCCCCATTCACTGAGACCTGATTTTGACTTTGTGGCCACTTGTTTGTCTTGTTTACTTTAGTGTGTGTGTTTGTTTTATGTTTTCTGGGTCAAGGAAGTTCTGGGTGAGTGTGGCAGGCTCACTCAGCAGACTCTGGATTCAGCTTGCTGAGTGGGAGCAGCACAGAGTTCCGGTAGGGATAAATTGGGTCCCATCAGTCCCCAACTCAGCCTTCAGTTCTTGTCTAGTTCTGTTTTAGAATTGGTACCAGTTTTAAATGTGGATACTTGGTTTTTGTGTTTATGTGTGTTTTTGTTATATATTTAAACATCTCTGGGGGAATAAAAATTCCAGCTGGGCTTGGTCACAGACCTGCTATGCCCACCCTCCCTATGAGGCATGGAAGGTTACTGGGCTAGTTTGGTTCCCTTCAAGCCTTAGGCTGCATTTTCTCCTTGTGGAGGCTGCCAGCAGGGAGGGTGTAGAAGGCTGTGTGCCTAGTTTGGACTTTTTCAGCTAGTCCTGACAATGTAACAATTTGTAAAGTGCTCTTGTCTAAAATTAGATTAGAAAAATCTGGCCAGTTTAAAGTGACCCCCTCCCCCAGCCCTCCTCCAACAGAAGGGATTCAAAAGACTAATTAGTGAATTGCCTTGCTAGACAAACAAGCTCTGGGAAAATAAAGCCCAACAAAGGTACCTAGTTTAAAAGAAATACTGTCTTAAATTTTTGTTTAAAAACTTTAAAACGTGTACGTATGACTAATTTTGATTTTTGCATGCTTTCAGATCTGTGTGAGTGTTTTGTGTGTGTCTGTGAACGTGTTCAAAGATAAAAATTGTCAGCATGCTGTAACAATTGGGTGAATTTAAATTTAAAAGTTTTAATGTGTAAAAACAAGCAGCCAAGAGACAATGAGTGACACTTGGCCTCAAGATTTTTAATGTAAATGAAAACTAAAGTATAAAATATTAAAGGTGATTGATAAGAGGGTTTAAAAAAATTAGAAATGGATTTCTGGATATAAAGTTTAAAAATAAAATTGTTCTTAACATTGGCCTCAATGTGCACAGAGGAAAAAGTTAGGATTATCAAAATAATTGCTATTCCAGTTTGCTCTTATAGGTTGCTTTTTTTAAGTCTCCAGCAAAGTCCAGAGCAAAGCACAGAGGATTCTTAAAAGTTTGTCAGATGTTACTTTGACTCTTAATAAGTTTCAGGTAAGAACATGCTTAAAAGCTACTTCTATGTTGACCACCTTGTTGCTTTTAATTGGAGTAAAATGGCCTTTTGTAGGACTCATTGATCTGCAAACTGGTTCAAAGCCAGCCCAGGCAGAAAAAGGTCCCTGTGAGACTGTCACCTCTACTCAGCTAGCAGAGTGCTGAAAGAGCAAGCAGAGTTGCTTTGGGACTCAAAGTGGCAGAGTGCTAGCCTTGAGCTGGAGAGCTGAGGGACAGTGCTCAGGCCCGAGTTCAAGTCCAGCGACCAGCTAAAGGGAAATGCCAATGAGGCATTTATCCCAATGTGGAGAAGACACTCCTGGGACAAAAGCAATGGAGGAGCATCCAGAGGCAGTAAGCTACTGCTTTGATGGCAGAAATGTCAGATCCTAGAGTCATTTGTGTGTGGCCCTTCAAAACTGGTCAAAGCCGGGAGGTCATAAAAAGAGTTTGTAAGCATGCCTAATGTCCATGACTATCTACCTTGTAAGGGACAGGAACTTGCCAGTCTTCTGTGATAGTAAAAAGCTAATGTTATAAAATGTGGGGGATAGTTTAAATCTCAACCCCTTTATGTGCCAAAAGCTCTAATTGGCAGCTCTAATTGAGCTGACACTAGTTACATGAAGTTCATCTGCTCAGGAAAAATACAGAGAGTGTGTTTCTATTGATATCTGTCTAAAGGCCTGCAAAGGTAACTTAGGCATTGTTAGGGTCACTAGAGATCACGTTCCTAAGTCATCCAAAAGGATGTTTTTGCAAACCAGAGTGCTAAACAAGCTACACTGCTGTAGCCGGAGAAAAGGTCTGTGCAGTTGTCAAAATATTGTTCTTAATGACATCTAACCCTGATGGCCCGTTTGTAAAATAGGCTAAGGTTATAGGTTCCTGGCTAGGTAAGATCAACGCCCCTGAAGTCAGCTTGAAAAAGTTACAGAAGATGGACCTTCGCCCTTCTACCCCCATTTTAAGATCAAGGGTCCAGAGTCAGTTTTGGAGAAATAAGGCAAAATAGATAAAATAATTTTTTTTTAAAAAGACATAAAAATAATGTTAACTGTTGTAGGTGTGCAAGGTGTGGAGACTGCATCTGTCAGAGATGGTTACAAGACTGAGCCTTCTGTGTCTATTTACAAAAATATCTGGTTAGTAAAAAAGTTGTGATTTTGGTAAATTGTCCTGGACTATTGTTTAAAGATCTTAAAAACCAGCAGGATCAAAGCCTGCCAAGCCTATGCAATGTATCTTTAACCAGTCTGTGTAGGAATTTAGAGCCCAGCATGAGGTGTGACAGTACCTTGGAGCCACTGAGAGACCCTGCTACTGCTGCTGCTGCTGCTGCTGCTGCTGCTGCTGCATACCTAATGGGTAAAGTTCAACGACGGCCTGACAGCCACCTGGAGAAACTCCTGCCTGATTCCATCACCTGAGTCTGCTTCCTGGTTGACTGCTGCTAAATCTAAGATCTTGTGGGACATTCTTTTAGGTGATATCCAGAAACCCTCTCTTCCCACAGTGGATATTGGGGACCAGGATATCACTGGCTTGCTTGCCTTAGGCAATTCAATGCGTAGTGACTGGAAATCCACTCTATGGTCACAGCCTAGTTTGGCTCTGGTATGGTAATAACCTGAGTGTGTTATCAATGGAAACTGAAAAGGAGAGGGGGGTAGTAAAGAAAGCCTTGGGAAAGGAATTGGGGAAAAATTGGTATCCCCTTTGGATAAGAAAGGATTTGAAAAGTAAGGATTGTCTTTAAGACAAACCTCAGAAAGTTTAAGTATGTCGCAGATGGTGTGAGTATGTCTTAAAATTGGAGCTTACAAGTACAGCTGGTATAAAATTAAGTTAACTGTGATACACGGAGTCAGGACTGGTGGAAAAAAAAATGTAAGGGGCCCTGGTACTGTTACTTTTGTTACAATCGGACCTTGTATACTCAACAGACTTGTAAAAGAAAAAGATCAGCTCAGTCCATCTATTAGTTCTGAGATCCAAATACCAAGCATTGAGAACAACTGACACCCCACAAAATAATATAGAGACACCCTAAATTTTAAGATTAAAATTAGTCCAAAGACAAGAGGAGGGAATGAAAGATTGAAATTGGGGCTATGTCCATTTTACAATTTACTAACTGCTAATTCTGCTTCTGTAAACCTGCTTGCGTTAACACTGACTCTTCCCCTCCCAGAAATAAGTTAAAAAGTTACAAAGTCCAGATGCAGGCCCAGGGACAAGGTCTACAAACATAGATAAAGAACAAAAGAGTATATTCTCTTGAATTCCTGTATAAAAACTCAGGGCAGGGGGCTCAAGACAAGGACCATCTGGTGAGCCCAGCAAACTAGGTCAAATGTCAACCAATTGCGAGCCTGTAACTATGTGGACTCCCCCCCCCCCTCCCAGAGAAGCCTCCCCCTAGGGAACCAACTAGTTTTCAACAAGTGTTACAAAACTTCCTGCGCAGTTGATTTTTAAGCTGAGCCAATCCTGGGGAGCCTGGGGTCTTATGCTAATCCTGTGGTTTTTGTCTTTAAAAGTGCCTGTAACCCCTGCTCAGGGCTTCCTGTCTGCCCTGGACAGAGAGCCCGTTTGTGCAAACGCCTAATAAACTCCTCTTGCTTATTGCATCTGCTGGTTTGGAGTCTTGGTTCTTGGGGTGCCCTACCGTTGAAGAAAGCATCCCAGTGAGTCTGGGGTCTTTCACATCCAGTAACAATAGGAAAGTTGATTAGAAGAGAAATTCAATAGAGAACAGAACATGTGAAGTGGACCCTGAGATGGGGCCCAAGCTGGTATGATTCCATTTTGAGCTTTGACTTTGTTTTAGGGATTTTAGACTCCATTTTTTAAGGGTGGCGACTAAAAACCTTTAAACAATGTTCAAAATAGAAAAACAAGCTTAATCGTAGGGCTACATCTTGGCTCTGACAGGCTTCATTCCCAGAATTAAAAAAAAACAACAAAAAACGCATCTGGTCCCCCTCCCCTTAACAAACTAACCCATCCTTGATTGTTCAGTTAAAGACTGACCAATAAAACAATCATAATCTTACTCAATTGGGAACACCACCTGCTTACTGCAAACCCCACCTTTGCCCACCAAAAGGTAAACCCTGCCTTTTGCCTGCTAAATATGCATGCCATTTTAAACCAAAGTGATAATCTGGTTTAAACAGCCATTATGAGACAAACTGTAACCTCATTGGCCACCTGTGTGTTGTCTGGCATGACTGTACAATCCTTTGTGTACAATCCCCTTGGTCACCTGTGTGTGACCAGGCTTGACCTCATGAATTTTGCCTTTAAAAACCAAAGTATGTGGGCCACTCAGGGGCACAGTGTCAGCTCCCGAGCCTGTGCTGCGGCCCTGACTGGTCAGTGTAGGAACCTCAATAAAGTTTCTTTTCATTAAACAACTTTGTTGTGGTGGGTTGGGTTCTGTCACTCTGGATGACTAGGCAGGTTTGCCTGCCTGAGTAGGGGGTCTTCCTACTACACTCGTGGCTTAGACACATTAAAGGGGAGACAGCATTTCAGCCCATTTCAGCCATCTTCACCATCTTCTCCATTACAGAACTTGGCCTTGGGTTAAACTGGAGTCCTAGAAGATGGCTTTCAGATTGGTAGGTTGTCTTTCTGTTTCCTGTGAGATTATGACACCAAACATTTATTGTTCTGTCCTTATTTCCTCATTCTTCTGTCCTGTGTGTGTGTGTGTGTGTGTGTGTGTGTGTGTGTATTGAGACTTGAACTCAGGGCTTGAACACCATTCCTTAGCTTTTTGCTCAAAGCTGGTGCTCTACGACTTGAACTATACCTCTACTTCTGCTTTTTTGATGGTTAATTTGAGATAAGAATCTCACAGACTTTCCTGCCTATCTCCATCCTAAAAATCTCAGTATCCTGAATAGCCAGGATTACAGGCGTGAATCACAGGTGCCTGGCTTTCCTCATTCTTTTTTAGCCCACTGTTCACATTTCCTTCAGGCAGGTTTGGTTTATCAGCTTTTCCTGCCATCTGCAAGTTCTTTAGATTTCAATTCTTTGTCTGCTTTTCTACTACCTACTATTATAGGCTGTTATTTTACTCCTCTCTCGAAAGGAGCATGGTTATAAACAAGTCAGAAACCTGAAACAATTGATCTCCACCCACTTTTCCCAGGTGCATACAGACATTGGGCAAGCCACTAAAGATATGTGCAGACTGCTGGATGTAGGCAAGGCAATCTACTTAAGTCTGGCTGTAAATATTCCATTGTGGGCCCAACTGAAAAGCCCTCACCTCCCTAGACCTAATGGCTTTTTCATTAACCTCTGCCTTCTTGCTCAGACCTCAAAAAATCCAACTCCTGTCTCACCTCTTTGCACAGTCCCCAAGCCTGCCGGAAAGCTGTGCCCCTTGCTGCTCTATCTCAATAAATGATCCTTACCTGTGGAAGATCTAGTCTGCCCTGTTTCTTTCCTTTCTCCTCCATTTTCCTAATAGTAACCAAACTTGAAGGAGTAGAATGGATTGGGTAAAGAGTTCTGAAACTGCTGAGTGTCAGTGGCTTATGCTTGTTATCCTAGTTATTCAGGAGGCTGTGATCTGAAGATTGTGGTTTGAAGCCAGCCTGGGAAGGAAAGTCTGTAAGACTCTTACCTCCAATTAAATCACAGAAAAAGCCAGAAGTGATGCTGTGGCTCAAGTGGTAGAATGCTGGCCTTAAGCAAAAGGAGCTCAGGGACAACAATGAGGTCCAGAACCAGCAAGAAGAATTCGAATAAGAATAAAAGGAGGAGGAGGAGGAGGGGGAGGAGGAGGAGGAGGAGGAGGAGGAGGAGGAATTGTTCTGGAACTAATTCCCTATGCTTGACTCTGGAAAATGGATCTGATATGCAAAGGGGAAGGTGAATGAGAAAGAGGAGAGAGGGGGTATGAAAGAAACAAAAGGAGAGAAAGAGAGAGAATTCCCCAGCCTTCACTTAGAAAAGAACACACTGGTGAAGAGGTATTTGAGGGCCCAGCAGAAACCAGGAAGCCACTTCTCAGTAGGTAATCAGCCTTCACAGCCAGAGGCAGAATAATTCTCACCTTGAAAAGTTGAAAACCGGGCTGGGAAGGTGGCTTAGTGGTAGAGCGCTTGCCTTGCATGCATGAGGCTCTGGGTTTGATTCCTCAGCACCACAAAAGCAGAAAAAAACGGAAGTGGTGCTGTGGCTCAAGTGGTAGAGTGCTTGAGGTGAAATGCTGAGGGACAGCACCCAGGCCCAGAGTTCAGGC